ACCACATCTTCTTTATCCATTCATCTGTTGATGGACACTTAGGTTGCTTCCATGTCTTGCCTATTGTAAGTAATGCTACTGTGAGTATTGGGGTGTGTGTATCTTTTCAATTTAGAGTTTTCATCTTTTCTGGATATATGCCCAGGAATAGGATTGCTGGATCATATGGTAGTTCTATTTTTAGTTTTTAAAGGAAACTTCAGACCGTTCTCCATAGTGGCTGTATCAATTTACATTCCCACCAACAGTGCACGAGGGTTCCCTTTTCTCCACATCCTCTCCAACATTTGTTATTTGTGGTCTTTTTGGTGATAGCTCTTCTGACAGGTGTGAGGTGGTATCTTACTGTGATTTTGATTTGCATTTCTCAGATGATTAGCAATGTTGAACATCTTTTCATGTGCCTGTTAGCCATCTGTATATAGAAGACTTAATATTGTTAAGATAGATAACAGTACCACCCAAAACAGCTTACAGATTCAGTGCAGTCTGTATCAGAATCCCAAAGGCATGTTTTTGCAGCAATAGAAAAACCCATTCTAAAATTCATGTGGAATTTCAGGTGACCCCAAATAGCCAGAACAATCTTAAAAAACAAAAGTTGAAAAACTCAGATTTTAAAATTTACTGTGAAGTTACAGTAATCACAACAGTGTTGTGCTGGCTTAAGGATAGACATATAAGACTGATGGAATAGAATAGAGAGCCCAGAAGTAAATCTCACATATATGGTTAATGGTTTTTCCAGTAAGGTTGCCAAGACCACTCAATGGAGAAAAGACAGTCTTTTCAACAAATGGTGCTGGTAAAATTGGATATCTATGTGTAAAAGATTGAAATTAGACCCATGTCTTACACTATATACAAAAATTAACTCAAAATGGATCAAAGTCCTAAATTTCAAAAAGAAAGGTATAAAACTCATAGAAGAAAACATAGGAGAATATCTTTATGACCTTGGATTTGGCAGTGGTTTCTTTAAAATGACACCAAAAGTATGGACAACAAAAGAAAAGTAGGTAAGTTGGATTTCATCAAAATTAAAAACTTTTGTGATCCAAAGGGCAGTATCAAGATAGTGAAAAGACAACCCACAGAATAGGAGACAATATTTGCAAATCATACAGCTAATAAGGGCTTAATATCCATAATATATAAAGAACTCCTACAATTCAACAGCAAAAAAAAGAAAAAAAAAAAGACAGCCTAACTAAAATATGGGCAAAAGACCTGAACAGACATTTCTCCAAAGAGGATATACAAATGGCCAATAGGCACATAAAATAACTTTGTTGGCGAGGATGTGGAGAAATTGGAACCAAGTCCATTTCTGGTAGGAATGTAAGATGATGCAGCCACTATGAAAAACAGCTGGCAGTTCCTCAAAAAGTTAAATATAGAATTATCATATGACCTAGCAATTCCACTCCGCTCCTAGGTAGATACCCAAAGGAATTAAAAACAGGGACTCGAAACAGATATTTATACACCACAACATTGGTCACAATAGCCAAAAAGTGGAAACAACACAAGTATCCACCAACAGATGAATGAGTAAACAAAATATACTATAAACATACATTGGAATATTATTTAGCCATAAAAAGGAATGAAGTTCTGATACATGGTACAACCTGGGTGAACCTTGAAAACATTACAATAAGTAAATTAAGCAGACAAAAAATGACAAATATCATATGATTCCACTTACATGAGTTATCTGGAATAGGCAAATACATACAGACAGAGAGAATAGGGGTTTCCAGGAAATGGGGGATAAGAGGAGTGTTTTTGCTTAATGGGTATAGAGTTTCTGTTTGGGTTGATGAAAATGTTCTGGAAATAGATACTAGTGATGGTTACACATCAAGAATGTACTTAATGCCCCTGAATTGTACACTGTAAATTGGATAAAATGGTAAATTTTATGTTGTTTATATTTTAAACATAATTGTTTAAAATTTTAATTTTACATAGTGATTTAGGTATGTAAATTATACATAGTGGTTTAGGTACATAAGTAAAGATGGAAGGGAGTATGAAGACATGAAAAATTACTAAATTATCCTGTGATTATATTATTTTGAGTAGAAATAAAGTTCAAATAAAAGTTTCATTTTTAGCTAAAGAATAGTTATGTTGATTAATAATTTTTAAAACCTTCGAATTATACAGGAAGAGCTTTTCAGAGTAATTCATATAAGGGAGAGTTGGTGTACTGTATCCGTGCTAGAACATTTTGAACAATTTTAGGTTCTTATAAAATTGTCTAGACTTTAATGAAATCTGTTTTTCTTTAGCTTGACAGGGCCAATTCTCTGTTAAACCAGACTCAACAACCTTACAGGTATCTCATTGAATCAGTGCGTCAGAGAGATTCTAAGATTGATTCACTGAAGGAGTGTATTACCCAACTTGAGAAAGACGTCAGGTAAACCATCTACAAATCTTTTATTTGAGTAATAAAGGCATTGTAAGCACAATACTGCTATAGACGAATTCAGGTTGGAAATTGTGAAGAAAATATTGAAATAACGAAGGGGGTCTTAAATGTAATGAGTTCAATTTCTCTTAGAAAAACTAAGTCACATCACATTAAGGTGTTCACAAACAGATAAAATGTACAAATTTACTTAGATTCATGTTGACTTTACCAAGGAATTTTTAGGCGTTTCTTCCACTGACCCTTTACATGAAGTAAACCATGAATTACCTCAATGTAAATAAATTCCTTTCACTTCCTTAGATTGAAATTGTTTTCTTACATGACACCTTATCCAAAAGACTTGCTCCACTGAATAATCATTCAAATTCTTTACCTGTTCATCTATATGATCATTTTAATCTTTTTAAATAACAGTAGAAGAATGATTCTATATAAAGAGGTTTTAATTCATGGATGCTTAGTTAGTTGGCTTGTTATTAGATTTTAAGATTATTTAGAATAAGTAAGTAGATAAATTATCAACCAATTTATAAAGGTAGAAGCAAAGAATTAGATGGGAGAGAAAATTCTTAAATTAAGGAATTAGAAAAGGTAGTTTATTGAAAAATATAGTTATTGGAAAAGATAGCTATTAAATTCAGGTTTCCTAAGATATATAACCAAAAATATAAAACTGCTGGTAATTAACTCCAAACTGTGAGTGTTCTTTTTGATAAATCAGAGTAGTTATCTTTTCCTCTCGTTTCTACCCCACCAAAATAATTGGTCCAAAACTTTATTCCTGATCAGAATTTTTTGACAATATAATGAAGTAATTTTAAATCACATTTATGTTTTAAATGTCAACATGAGTAACAATTTATTTGTAGATTAATTTTAAAGTTAAAATTAATATTTAGAATATTCATAACTGGCATTAATAAATCAATTCAGTGAATTAATTAAATAGTTCTATAAATAGCTGTTGGGAGCAATAGAAATTATGTCTCATCATTCACTGGAGACTTGCTTATCTTAAGGAAATTGAGGAAAGAACCGCAAAGAGAACCTTTTCTTTCCATATTATATATTTGATATATTTAAAATTTTGTATAGTGTTTTGTCTTACCCTTGTAATCTTGGAGCAAGGATATATAAAAGGCCTGTGGAAAAAATTACCTCTTTCACAGTTACCTTCAAGTAAGTTTATTTAAATAGTTATTTTACTAAGAACTAGGAAAGCTGAAAATGTTTAATATAAAGAAAAATAATAGCCAGCTACAGGAGAAAATTGTAATGGCCAAAATTTGAATCCAGATCTGTCTGCTTTCTAATTCCATACTCTTAACCATTATGTTATACTGCCTCCCTATGTTCTAATCTGAATAAGGGATAATTTTTCTTTAACTAATATAATTAACGAAGAGAAACCAAAAAAAAAAAAGTGTAGAATAGTGGTTAAAAGGAAGGCTTTTAATGAGTTGATAATTGTTGAGGCTGGGTGATAGATACATTGTTATAGTTTCTCTCTTGAAATATTTCATAATAAAAAAAAAAATTCCCTATCTGCATTGTCCAATATGGTAGCTGCTAGCTACATGTGCCTATTGGGCATCTGAAATATGGTTAGTGTTACTGAGGAACTAAAATTTTAATTTTATTTGAATTAAATTAATATTAATTTTCATTGCCACTTGTGGCTAGCTAATAGCTATGGTATTGGACCCTATAGCCAATTTTCTCATCTGTGAAATGAGAGTGGCACCAACAGCACCTAATTCACATGGTTATTCAGAGGATTAAATGATATAACCTTTGTAATATATATAGCACTATTCCTATACATTGTTAAAAATGCTTTTTAAATGTTTGCTATTACTAGTATTGTCTTATATTTAACACATTTTTATGTTGAAAATTATCTTTGAAGTGAGAAATAACATTTCTCAAAATATGCTGAATTTTGACAAAAATTAGGACTCCCTTAATTACAGCAACAGTAATCACAAGAACTATGCCAATTATGGAATTAAACAAAAAAAAAATATTTTGTGTGCTAAACATCTGAAGGCTTTAAAGCTGTCTGTGTCTCATATATTTATTGTATACTATTTTAGTAGATTCTGAACTAATATTTCACAGGATATGAAGTCTTGCTCTTCATTGAAGCAACTATCTTCTAATGTGAAAAGTTAAGGTGCTTTCCGAATTTTAATTATGGCTTGTGAGATGCTGTAGCTGTACCCTGATGACGTGAATGAAAGGATGTGATGCCATACAATACAATCAACAAGTCAGATACAACAGGTTAGATCACATTTCTATCTACCATCACCCTGACTCTGAGCCAACGGCATTTCAAATAGAGTAGAATTATCCTGGGCTTTGACTACACGTCAGCCTGATTTCTCTTCTCATGGTAAATGTGTCTGTAAAATGTAGATATTAATGTGAACATCAAGGGGTAGTTGTGAAAATTAAATGAAGTAACATATATAAAAAGCTTCTGGCACACAGGAGGAGCTCAGTAAATGTTACCTCCCTTCCTTTTGTCCTTCATTAATTCGAAATTTAAACATTCGATGATCCATCCAAAAAGATGACTAAGTGATTATGTTCCTTGATCATTCCTGTTACTTTTTGCTGGGTGTGGATTTTAATTGTAAAGAATACTTACATTAACTGGTTAATTTGTAAATGTTTCTTTAGCTTATACAATAAAAGCTCTTTAAAGAACTGAATATAAATTTTATCATTTTCTTACAAAATAAAACAATATCACATCCACAACTTGCCAATTTAGCCATCGATACAATTTATTCAATGCCTAGAAAGGTTAGCGCAAACATGCACTAAAATGAAATCGTGATAAACATGTTAAAAGCTAACATTTGAGATATCACTACTAACTGTCATTAAAGTAATACTCGGTTCTAAAAGTAGTACTTTTAACTCTCCTCCACCAATCCATAAGAGACAATCTGGGTTATAGTGTTTGATCTATAGTTCAGGACCAAAGGAAGCACAGAAAGAGAATAATTAGCATAAGTTTTCTTTCTCTGTTTTCAATTCTCCATTTATCGTTAACTAGTCATTTAGGAAGAAAAGACTACTTAGGCACTTATAAGGCTAGGCCAGAGTATATTGATCCAGGAAGTTAAAGAACAATATATCAGGAATATGTTTTCATATAGCAGGTGAAACAGAGCCATAAACATGAATTTCTGAGTAATAATTAACAGTGAATTGAACAATTATGGGTGTAATATACCATTCACGGTAGACATGCTCATAAGGAGATTTGTTTTGTAGTTGCTTTATGAGTCACGCATAGAAGCTTTGTATTTTTAAAGGTAAGTTTCCACTGTTATGAAATGTCTTATGGAGACTAAACTTCTATTGAGTAATTACTGTGTGTGGAAGAACACAGAGTATAATCATCATCATATTCAGTTTTAGAGACCCACGTGTTGAAGGTAGTCTCCCTTGTAATTTAAGAAAGAGAAGGCTAAGACTTTGAAAATATATATCCAAGTATTGTCTGTGGAGCCAACGTCTTGCAAATAGAACTGAGTTGCTTTGTCAACCAGTTTATCCACTTACCTTTTATTCCATGTTATATGTTTAGTTTTGTTATTTAAATATGGAATACTTACTTTATTCTGAAAAAATTAAACACTACATAGAAAGCATTTCTAATGAATTATTCAGTCAAAATTCTTTAATTACATCAACATTCCGTTCCTATTACACTACACTTTATTTAATGGGTCTGTTGGTGTTTGAGAGCCTACGTGTGTGTGTCTGTGTGTCTGTGTATGTGTTTGTGCGAGTGCACCCATGTATGTACTGCATGTAAGTGCATGTTTACATTCTGTGTGTGTGTGGGTACATGTATACGAACATGTATATGTGCATGTATATGAACACATCTGTTCCTTGAATATTCCTATTCGTATTTACTGAACATTTATTTTCACTTTGAAAAATATTTTGGGGACTTCCCTGGTGGCTCAGTGGTTAAGAATCCACCCACCAGTGCAGGGGACACAGGTTCGAGCCCTGGTCCGGGAAGATCCCAGATGGCACAGAGCAGCTAAGCCTGCACACCGCAACTACTGAGCCCACGCGCCGCAACTACTGAGCCCACGCGCCGCAACTACTGAAGCCTGCACATTCTAGAGCCTGTGCTCTGCAACAAGAGAAGCCACTGCAGTGAGAAGCCTGTGCACTGCAATGAAGAGTAGCCCCTGCCCGCCGCAACTAGAGAAAGCCCACATGCAGCAACGAAGACCAAACACAGCCAAAAAATAATAGAAAAATAAAAGAAAGAAAAAGAGAAAGAAAAATATTTTGTCTTCAGTGTGACCCTAGCTAAAGAGAGAATTTTAAAGTTACAGAAACACCTGATCTTTACCATGCTTTGGGGGACTCAAGCAGAACACAGCACTCAGTTTCCTTTTTATCATCTAGTTCTTTTCAACTCCTCGGCTCAGTAGGATCGCTGACGCCTAACTCCAAAAGTCAGTTTGTTTTTATGCTGAGCTGCTTACCTTTATTGACATTTAATTACTGTTTTCCTCTGATGACTGTTTCTCATCTAAATTAGTAAAACGATATAGCATTTTGTAGAGTTTTATGTGCTCAGTGTTTTATGTAATCATTCATTAGATAATTCACATGTCCCTTTGACATACATGAGTATTATTTTCCACTTTTACGGATGTGAAAACAGGTTCAGTGGGGTGGTATGTGTCGTGCTTTACACCACACAGTTGAGTCAGTGGCACAGTTGGAAACAGAAGTCAGAGTTGCATCTAGTCTTTCTTCTCAGAGGACAAACTCTGATGCTTCCTTGGGGAAGTTCTCAATTAGTAGGAAGGAGGAAAATGTACATTTTTTTTTACTCTTAAGTCCTTGGAATTACCAGTGCTTTCAGAATACTAATACTATTCACTGAGTTTAAAAAAACTTCTCCCTAATATTTTGAAAATTGGTGGCATTCTATTTTCTTAAAGTATAACTTAAAACATCTTACCTGTTCAGCAAAACAATTCTCATTAATTTTACCTTTACAGATTTTGTTTTGACATTCAAGGAATTACGTTGCTTCAATTCAGTGTTGCTTTTCTTAATCCTTGTAGTGCTGTCTGGGTAGACTCATCCCAGTGGCTTTCAAAGAATATTTTATTTAATGGTTCTGAATATTTTTATATGTTGAATAATCAAACTCCAGACAGTATAAGACAGGCCTCAAATATTTATGTTTTAAAATATTAACATGTCCTTACAATTAGGCTTCTCACCCTTTCCTATCAGAAGATAGGTCATTTCAAAGAGAAATTCACAATGCGGACTTAGAAGTTGAAGATTGAACTAAGAATTTGGAGACAAAAATTGTTTCCCCGAGGGCTTCCCTGGTGGCGCAGTGGTTGAGAGTCCGCCTGCCGATGCAGGGGACACGGGTTTGTGCCCCGGTCCGGGAAGATCCCACATGCCATGGAGCAGCTGGGCCCGTGAGCCATGGCCACTGAGCCTGTGCTCCGCAACGGGAGAGGCCACAGCAGTGAGAGGCCCGTGTACCGCAAAAAAAAAAAAATTGTTTCCCCGAGTTTACTGTAGATCAAATATCTGGTTCATTTATCTCACTCAGTTATATACCTGGTAATTTAGTATGTGATAAATTATAAGATACTACTTTCAGTTTTAAGGATAAATGTTGTAATTTGACTTTCAGTGTCTCAAATTTTAATATGGTGCCCATACGTACGTTCTTTTTACCTTTTATATAAGTCCCACTTCATCTTTTTACATTTCAGGAGTAACCAGTCATCTTTAAAACACCAATTTTATGCCCCTACTAGGCAGGAAAGTATTCTCAGAAAGCATCTCAGTTGCATTGTCAAATAGTTGTGAAAAGAAAAAGTATTCTTATAAAATAGCCAGGCCAATGATTGAATCAAACATTGTAGTCACTGATCTGATATCTTTATGAACTATAAATTTAATTTTTCTTTAATTCAAACCATCAGATTTAGTCTTTTGCTATTTATTATTTGTTAATTAAATTTATATTAGTATGACAACTTTTTAAAACTTGGTGGGGTTTTTTTTTCCAGCAATTTAAATAAAGAAAAGTCAGCTTTACAGCACATGAAGAATCAAATGGCATTAGATTTGGAACAACTTCTGAATCATCGTGAGGTACTTTTTCCATTTTGTCATAATTTTTACCACCTTAGGCTTTTTCAAAATCATATTGGGTTAAGATTATTGGATCCCAGTAGTCTGTGTTCATTATGAGTTAATTCTTATTCATGGAATGCTCCTTCTTGATGGCCCCTATTGCCTTGTTCATATCTCTGTCATTGAATTTCCATGTTATTTAATAATTATCTGTCTTATCCCTTTCTCCCTCTAAGACAGTAAATTTCTTTTTTTTTTTTTTTTAATATTTATTTGGCTGCATCGGGTCTTAGTTGTGGCATGCAGTATCTTTAGTTGTGGTATGCGGGATATTTTAGTTGTGGCATGTGGGCTCCTAGTTGCAGCACGTGGGATCTAGTTCCGTGACCAGTGGTCAGACCCAGGCTCCTTGCATTGAGAGTGCTGAGTCTTTGCCCCTGGACCACCAGGGAAGTCCCTAGACAGTACATTTCTTTAGTGTACCTCTGTCTTATTCATCATTGTATGGCCAGTGCCTGGTGTACAATATTTGTATTGAACTTCAAAATTCATAAGTTTTCTTTTAATTTGTTCCTCACAAAAAATATTTTAAAGGTAACAGAATCCCTATTTTATAAAAGAAGAAAATCAGGTTTTGGTGGCTTCCCCAGAGCCAGGTGGTAACTAAGAGATAACCCCAGTTTTTTTTCCTTTTTTTAAGTCAGATTTATTGAGATATGATATACAATAAAATTTACCCTTTCCAGCATACGTTTCTATGATTTTTGACTAATGCGTACAGTTGTGTAACCATCACCATAATCAATATATAAAATTGTTCCATCACCCCAGAAAATTCCCTCTTGACCCCTTTGTAGTGACCCTTTTCCCTAACTCCAGTTGATCTGTTTTCTATCCCTATAGTTTTGCCTTTTTTTTTTTTTTTTTTTTTTGCGGTACGCAGTCCTCTCACTGTTGTGGCCTCTCCCACTGTGGAGCACAGGTTCCAGACGCTCAGGCCCAGCGGCCATGGCCCACGGGCCCAGCCGCTCCGCGGCATGTGGGATCTTCCCGGACCGGAGCACGAACCCGTGTCCCCTGCATCAGCAGGTGGACTCTCAACCACTGCGCCACCAGGGCAGCCCTATAAGTCTTTTTAGTCTCGGTTTTTTCACTTACCATAAAACAGATCACTCTATGTTGTTGTAAATATTAGTAATTTGTCCTAATTTTTATTGCTGAGTAGTATTCCATTGTATGGGTATACCACAGTTTGTTAATCCATTCACTGGCTGATGGACATTTGAGCTGTTTTCATTTGGGAGTGCCTATAAATAAAGCTGCTGTACACAATTGTGTACGTATTTTTGTGTAAATATAAGTTTCCATTTCTCTTGGTAAATACGAGGAGCAGGACTGCTGGGTCATATGGAAAGTGTTTCATGTTGTAAGAAACTGCCAGACTATTTTCCAAAGTGACTGTATCTTTTGCATTCCCACCAGCAGTGAATGAGAGTTCCAGTTGCTCTGCATCCTTGCCAGCAGTTGGTACCGTTAAGCCTAGTTTTTTAATCCATGAATTTTTTCCACTGTACTATCACTGCCTTGTCTTAGCCATGTTTTTACCGTTTTGCTGTCCTAACAGAGAAAAAATGCTCAAAACAGATCATTGGTTTATGAGTATCCTGAAGACATTGTTTCCTAGTCTGGGAAAGATATATCAGGTATTTGGGAAGAAATTATTGGAAGGAAATTATTGAGAGAGATGAACTAGCGAATATTCCTGGAAGCAGCTCAAAGATGCATATCATCTAGAAATGGTGTCAGGGGAATTGGGTGAAGTGCCCAGAATAGCCAATAGATAACAGTTGAATAAGAATAACTTGGATAAATAAAATTTTTTGCAAGTTAAAATCAGGGCTGAGACTAAGGTGAGGGCAGCCAGGCACTGAAGGCACAGAATAGAGGAGGTGCCCCCTCTCAGAGGCATGCACAGTGCAGCGCTGGCACCTGAGACCTTGCCTCACCCTAGTCAGGACCCTGTGAAAATGATCTAGTATGAATCATTGCTTCAATCAGCTAAATTTTCTCAGTTTAAATTAGTGACTCATAAAGAGACCAAATGAACATTTAAAGTGTTTCATTTTTTTTTTGCACTGGGCAGCTCTTGCTCTAACTTTTTAAGTGGTGTCACTTAGTTCTGGTAAGACTGTTTATGGTAATATGAAATGAGATCCCCACCTCATTTACATAGTTATCCAATATGTGTTACATGAAAAAAGAAAATGAGTGGGATAGTTCTAGGTTGACAATGCTAGGATAGTTGAGGCATGGCCACAGAAGATTTATTTTCTATTCGTGTTAGCTCAAAACTGTTAGCTTAAAAGTTCTCTCACGTTGGGAGTTCATTTGTGGTCTTAAGGGTTTCCAGGAATGATAAAATCCATAGTGGCCTCTTATTCTATAAACTTCTAGCATTTATACATTCAAAAATGGTTGTGTGGGGCTTCCCTGGTGGCGCAGTGGTTGAGAGTCCTCCTGCCGATGTAGGGAGCACCGGTTCGTGCCCCCGTCCGGGAGGATCCCGCATGCCGCGGGGTGGCTGGGCCCGTGAGCGATGGCCGCTGAGCCTGCGCGTCCGGAGCCTGTGCTCTGCAACGGGAGAGGCCACGACGGTGAGAGGCCCGCTTACCGCAAAAAAAAAAAAAAAATGGTGGTGTGTATTTGGAAAGTGTATTAGGTGATTTTTATTCTCTTCTTTAGAGAAAATGTATTAACCTAATAATAAAAAAAAGTGAAGAGAGGGTGAGTATGGAGAAAAATAGCCTTTTTTAGTTTGCCTTTTCAGACTACAAAGCTCAGCTGAGATGAGTAAATGTATTAGGTTAAAGGATCTGCACAAAAATACTAACTGAAAGATGTGATCATAAATTGAATTGCGATCTCATATCTGTCCACGTCCGTCTATTCTGAATTCTCCAGGTTCTGTCCCTGTATTCAGTGAAACCTTCGGAAAGCAGAGAGCAGGGGAAAGGGGCAAAATATCTCTCCTAACAAAATTCCTTCCATTAAGGCACAATTGAATGTCATGACCTCTGCCTTTATAGAAGATCGGAATAAAATCTGGTGTCATTTCTCTTTGTTTCATGAAACTATTTAAGGCAATCTACTAAGTACTTCCATTTATATTACATAATTTAGTCTTTGCTACAGTACCCTGAGATAAATATCATTGTCCCTACTTTTACAGACGAAACAGATGCTGATAAGAGTTAAGCAACTCAACCGTACTTACTGTCGAAACTTTTTTCTTTTTGTTTCTGAAACAAAAGCTTATGATCTTTCTCCTTAGTCCCATTTAGACAAAAATCTCAGGATGAATTACTGCTTGTGTGAGTTCCAGGAAAATTTGTGCCTCTGTAGATGAAGTTATATCCTTCTGTCTTTTTTACAGAAAATGAAAACTATGTAATTTAATGTGCTTCCTTTTCGTCTTAGTTGCCAGAAAAGTCAGAGCTGAATATCTTATCCAGGTGTTGTAATCTTTTTTTTCTTTTCTTTCACTTTTGATGCTTCAGAATAACTTTTTCTTTGTCTTTCAAGTGGAATGTAATCTTTTTTACCCTTAAATGTCTTCATTTATGCTAAGAGCTTTTAGGTATAAAAATATAAAATATAAATCTTAAATAATTAGGTTTTACAAAAGGTAAAGGAAAAGATTGATAGGATCTCACTCTTAGTTAACATTGTCAGGGCTTCAAATTAAACATTTAGTTTTGAGTATACGAAATGTGATTCCTTAGAATGGCTTCTCTCTCGTTGAGCATACCTCTCGAGTCTTCTTTAATGGCCTTCATTTTTCATTCATATTTATCCACTCATATTTGCCTTAATGAAACAAGATTTGCTGAACACCTTTGGAAATTTTAATTCTGCTTTTATTTGTATATATTTCATCATGTGTCCTTAGAATCTAAGCTTCCAAAAGTAGGAGAAGTATCTTTAATCAGCCATGTATCTAATAGAATACTGAGCATAATTTTAAGAAACTGATATAAAAGCCTTTTTCTGATTTCTTTTGCAGCTGTATTAGGGGGAGTGGTAAGAGCCCCACTTAGGAAGCTATTTCAGTATTTCATTGAGCAATAGGTGGTATCGTGAACTAAACTGGTGATGATGGTGTCCAACAAGCAGGGACCAATTTGAAAACTATTTAGAAAGCAGAATCACTGGGCTTCGTGACTGACTGAATTTAGAGAATGATGAAGAGAGGAGGAATGAGAATTGATGCCCAGGGTTTTGGCTTGTATCCTGGGTTTATGGTGGTGCTACAAAGAACATAGGAGGAATAGGTTTGGGAAAGAAGAACTCAAGAAAATATCTAAGTGGATATATTCAGTAGAGAGTTAAAAATGTAGGTGCTGGAGCCCAAGAAAGAGAAGTTATCTGGAGGTAGAGATTTGAGAGTCAACAGCATAAAGATGGTGCTTTACATGGAAGTAGATTAAATGAACTAGTAAGGGTATATAGCGTGAGAACAGAAAAAGGCCTAGGACAGATTCTTGATGAGCACTAATATTTAAGGGCAGAGCAAAAAATGCTTACTCAAAGAAGAGTGAGGAGTGACCAGAGAAATGGCAGGTGCCTCAGGAAAAGAGTAGACCCACGCGAAGCCAGAAGCATTCAGAAGGGAGGAAGTTGTCAGCAGTGGCTTAGGCTGCCAAGGGGCCAAGTCGAACAAAGATGAAAAAGAAAATGGTATTTGGATTTAACAAGATGTTTAAAAAAAGCAGTTTCAGTGGCACTAAAGGCAGATTGCAGTGAACTGATAAATAAGTAGAAGTTGAAAAACAGTAAAAGGAAAACTAGGCAACCCTTTGAATAAGAGAATATAAGGTGATCAGGGAGGGAGCATGAGATCAAGGGCCTTTACCTCCCAGAGTTGGAGAGTATCCGGCTTAAATGGGGATAGGAAGGAACCAAACAGAGAGAGACATTGAAAGTACAAAAGAGAGAGGATGATCAATTGAGCAAAAGTG